TGTCTTTACAAGGTGTGTTCACATGCACGTATCAGGGCGGGCTGACAGGAAATGCCAGGAGGGACATGCGCTGTCTTGCTCACACCCTTGGGTGCACCTTCTTCCTTTGCCTCTGAGCCCTCTTTTGATAGCAACTCACCAGATTGCTTATATCAAAACAGAACTTGCCCTGTGCTGTCCCAAGTCTGTTTGTTATTTCCCAAAAGTACAGAATCGAAAGTTTCCCCTCATTTTACTATTCTCCAAAACGGGTAACAGAAAATTCAACTAGGAAAGCTACAGGAGGTGAATTTAATCATTCTAGGAGGAAGCCGAGTGAGCTTCCTCTACCACTCTACACTCTAGCTTGCTGATCACAAACCCTGCAGAGACCTGACAAGATCCGAGTCTCCAATACAGAATGTATTTCAGAGAAAGCCAGTCAGCGGAGCCCTGAGATGGACAGAGGGGCAGAATGCTGGTGAAGGCACAGAGTAAAGAATCCCAAGAAAGTTTTGGTGCCATTTTCATTTAATGAGCCAGTAGTATAGTGACTTTGGCTGTGATCACACCAGGATGTTTACTGAACGGTGCAAGGACACACGACTGCCAGCTGGTATCCTCGGGTCCACCACGCTGGAGCAGCTGCAGCCTCAACTCCCACAAAGACTTAAGGCTGAGGGGTATAACGGAGGTATTTCTTGCCAGATGGGAGCTCTTTGGTGAAGACTCCTTTGGGGAAAAGCTGTTTGGCCTCCTCTTCAGGGATGGTGGGAAGGACCATGACGCTGTCGCCTTCCTGTTGGGAGATGGTGCAATTCAATCTTGCAGCAACGGTAAAAGGTCCTTGGGCATTAACTACGGGAGAGCGGTCTATGAAGGTGGCAATGAGGTAAGCTAGAATTCTTTACTCTCTCCTCCTTGAGGAACTTACTGTTTTACAAATTGATTTCTGACATGTTTATTAGGAGTATTTCTCCATCTTAAGTAAAAACAGTCCAGTTTTAAATGCCATCCTAGCTGGCCATTGAAGAGACTCTAGCTAGTCTGGGCCTTGGCAAGCATGGCTCTGGCAGGCCCTGACCTTCTCCTGCCTTCTCTCTACCTTGCTAGCAACTGTTAGGTTACATTCCTAAAGCTAGCCACCAAGGTCTAGTCCCTTATTTGGCCACTTCCTCCTCCTGAGGCCGACTACCCAGGTTCAGCTATCAAAGTATTCAGGCCCAGCAAAGCAATCAGAAGCCCCCATTGGCTCACCTAATCAACATGGCCGATGAAAATGAAACACCTCATCCTGACCTGGGGTTTTCCCCTTTCCCTTTATAAACTGCCGCTTTCCTATGTGCCATGCCTGTGTGCTCTCTATCCAGAGGCAGTCCTTTGTCTCCAACTATCCCTTCCCCTTCTCCCTCACCCTCCTGTTTTTGCCTCTTATACCTTGCCCTTTGCCCCTCTGGGGAAAATCTCCTTTGTGCTGAGAACTTGGTTTTGGGGGTCCTGAGCCAATACTTTTCCTTTCAGCCATCACACCTTGAAATTCTTTAATGCTAAACCTACCCCTTGGTTTACAGGATTTGACTGGGCTAGACTCCCTCTCACCTCCCATCCCCCACTCTACGTCCTGAAAATGTACATGACTGGCCTGTCAGAAAAATCAAAACCCAGTACTCAGATTAGCACACAAATCATGAAGCAACACTAAGATACTCTTGGTGTATTCTCTTGTCCTATTTACCTGTAGAGATTTTCTTAGGTATTAAGTTTATGAACAATTTGGGTGTGGTGGTGCACGCCTGAAACCTCAGCACATGGAAGTCTGAGGCAGGAGATTAAGAGTCCAAGGCCAGCCGGGGCGGTGGTGGTGCACACCTTTAATCCCAGCACTCAGGGAGGCAGAGCCAGATGGATCTCTGTGAGTTCAAGGCCAGCCTGGGCTAACAGAGTGAGTTCCAGGAAAGGCACAAAGCTATACAGAGAAGCCCTGTCTTGAAAAAAACAAACAAACAAAAAAAAGAGTCCAAGGCCAGCCAGCCTATGATAAACACCGAGATCCAATGTTAAAAGGGGCAGGGACTCCTTCACTTGCAGAGTGCTTGCCTGGCATGCATGATGCCCTGGGTTCAGTCCCCAGGACCCTATAAAACTGGGCATGGGGGCACAGGCTTAAAATCCTAGCACTTGAGAGGCAGAAGCAAGAAACTCAAGGTCATTCTTGGCAACATGATGAGCTTTAAAGCCAGCCCGGGCTAGAGGAGACCATGAGACTTTATCTTAAATGCTCACACACACACTTTCTGAGCACATGCTCTCTCAGACTATACATGTTTAAAAGGTTGGAGCTTAAAAGAAAAAAAATGCTGTAACATCGGCACACCAACAGTTATGGAGCCACCATGGCAGATGTGAACTCGTCCTTCCTGACTTGAGACAGGACCTTGCTATGTAGCTAGGGTGAACTTAAACTTGTGATCCTCCAGTCCCTGCCTCTGGAGTGCAAGGATTACAAATTTCACTGTGTCTAGCTCCAACAAGGTTCTGCTTATCAGGTAACAGTTAAGTGAAAGGATTTTTTTTTTAAAGTTTTGTACATGTTGAGTATCCTGTATTTAAAAAAGAAGTGTTTCGTATTTGGACATTTTTGGATATGGAATATGTGCACATTCCAGTTGAACATCCCTAACCTCCAAAAGTTGAAATGTGATGAAATGCATCCAGCAATTTTGGATTTTGGAGCATTGTGGGTCTGGGATTTCTGGATCGGTGATGTTTAACTTCTAGACAAAAAAAAAGAGGCCACTGTGACCAATGACGTGGAACTATACAACAGAAAAACCCATAAAGTTTTGTGCTTTATGCACACAGTGCACATGATCCTCCTGGTATACCAGAGCGGGACCACAGACACACCCCAGGAGACCCAGATTCTGAAGGTGGCCATTAGACCGTCCTTCCGACCTTTCAGGCAAGCTGGGCACCCGCTTCTTGAACAGCTTTACCTTCCAGTCAACCGGGGTAGCGACCCGCTTCGTGGCTGTCAGCTGGAGAGACTTAATTACTCTGAGAATCTCATCAAAATTCCTGCCGGTGGTGGCCGGGTAGAGGATAGACAGCTTCAGTTTCTTGTCGGGCCCGAAAACAAACACCTGCAAGGCACAGACGCACGGGAAGTGCTTCAGTCTATCTGACGGCAAAGCCATCGTGGGGCGCTCAGGGTCATGAGCTCGCTGCCTCAGTTCCCCCGGTTCCAAAGGAGTTAGCAAACAGAATTAGCAAAGGAAAATAGATTTCATTACAGGGCAGCCAAATCAGGGAGATAAAGACTCCTAGTCTGTCCACTCTTCCTCCGACACAGTGGTTCTCAGCCTTCCCAAGGCTGTGTGTGACCTTTCAATACAGTTCCTTATGTTATGGTGAACCCCCAACCATAACATTCTTTAGTTGCTATTATTTATTATAGTGACAATTATTTAGTTACTTAATTACATAGCTGTAATTTTGCTACTGTTGTGAACTATAATGTAAATATCTGATATGCGGGATATCTGATATTCTTCGACCCTTGTGAGAGGGTCACTTGACTCCCCAGGGGAGTTGAGACCCATAAGTTGAGAACCGCTTCTCCAACAGTTCTATAATTTAAGAAGAATTTTATTTATGTTGTGCGTGTGAGGGTGTACACACGTGCCAGTGTGACAGCGGAGGTCAGAGGTCAGCTTGCAGGAGTTGGTTCTCTCTGGCGCCACATGGGTTCCAGGAATCCAATCAGATCCTCAGGTTTAGCACCCTTACCTGCCTAAGCTCCCTTGCTTGACCCAGGGTAACACTGCTATAAAAAAGATAATGCAGAAGCCAGAAACACATACATGTCCGTTTACTCAGTCGTCAGAGCTGTGGGAACGTCTTCCTGTGAGGAAGAAAGTTCCTATTTTGCTGTGGATGCCTTCGCCTTTCCCTTCCAGCATGGGATTCCTGGAGAAATTTTAATTCTTTGGGGTTCATTGTTTTAAGGTCCCTGCTCCAAAGCCCCCAGAAAGCTCTGCAGTCACCAAGTGTTCAAAGATGCAAAAACATAAACAGAGACAGAACAGAGGCGTGGAAGAGTAGACAGAAACTAACTCTGTCCGGGACACAGGTCACTCTCTTTCCTCTGTTACTCTTCAAAGTTTGCTGTCCCAGAAAGAAAAGAACTGTAATGTAAATCTTCAGGGAAGAGCCTCGGGTAGATGTACTAGGTCACCGAAGGATGGCTATCACGAATGTATCACTAATGTGAGCTGATATGGGCCTCAATCAGCTGTGCATAAGGGGTGGTCAGAACAAGAGAGCTCAGGACTGTCCTGTCAGAACTGTTTCAAAGATGGCTAGTAGAAGGTAATACAGGTAGGATTTTTTAACTCTAGAGAACAGTTTTGATGAACTGCTTAGTTATGTGTAGATATACCCAACAGCTACAGATTAAACAGAAATTTTAGCTGAATAGTCTATCCACTTTGCACCAGCATACAGATACTAAAGGACAGTCACTGGCACACAGATGTTTCATGATGGTGGATATTCCTCCTCTATTTCCTTGAGTTGGCTCAAACATTTACATGGGGTTGTTAGGACTCACCACACGGGCCGTCACAGGCATGCCCTTCTCATCCTTCTCTGCTGGATCCAACATGCCCAAAAGGATGGCAAGGTCCCTCTCCCTGTCATCGATGATGGGAAACGGTAACTTTTCTGTGGGCTCATCACCATTGTAAGCATTGATGTCCTGAAACGGAGGAGAAAGGGGAAAGGGAATTTTTAACCTGACACAGTTTTCACTGCATTTCATCAGCTAAGAATCACCACTCTGCAAGCCGAGGAACCAACATAATAATGCTCTCTAAGGAATTTTAGTAAGATGCATGAATAGACACTTCTTATCACCATTATTCACGAACAGGAATATATTAGCAGAGTATGGCATACATAGGCCAAAGCCCTTTCCACACTGAACTCTAAATTTATAGGACTCAGGGGGTGAGGGAAGGCTGCAAGATCTGGGCTTTGAAAGACAGGTAAAGCACTGGAAAGAGGAAGGCATTTTGGGGAAAGCAATATTAAGGAGACACGTAGACAAGTAGTCCATGCATAAACCGCAGTAGGAAATCGAGGAACTTAACTAGGAGATTTTAGGAAGTGACAAAAAAGTGGATTTAAAAGTAGAAAAGGGTGTTTGTTATTCATATGAAGCCCATGGGCAGATCTGAAACCTTTTTGCATTTCTTCAGAGAGGAGAGGAGATAAAAGTGACATTAAAACTCTGGAACAGGTAGCAACAGACTTGAACATAGCCAGTCATTTCATTGCCTTAAGTTGCCTTTGGCCGTTGGTCACTGGCTGCCCACTGTTTAGGCGCCAGCTAAACAATAACCAATATGGTTTCCAGCCTGCACACCTAGAGCTTTCCTGTGTAATCTGTTACATGCCAAGGCTGGCACTGCTTTTGGAGTTTGGATTTATTTTCTATTCCAGACAATCACAATTTTGGAAACTTGTCTAAGGCAGATTAAATAGACCAGGATATGTTCCTGTACATCAGGTGTTGTGTGATGATGAGCTCTGAACTCTCCTTTTGGCAATCTGTGATTTAATATTCATATTCACTAATTCTTGACTCTGTCACCTGCTTAACCGACGGCACATTACACTCACAGACACCAAAGACCCACATTATTTTGTCTTTGTTTTATCCTAAATCGGGACAATTTCACTCTTTACTGTCTGGCACTGAAGGAACGTTGGTTGAGGTTCAGATCACATTGGCATATCCTCCTTTTCAATTGGGTGAGCTGGAGCAAGTCACTCTAATACTCATTTATAAAACTGGCTTACGGCAAAGGGCTTTGCTGTGGAAATGCCAGTTACCATTCACTGCCAAAGTGTGTGCAATGAAAAAAAATCTACCTCGGAGAAGATGACAACCCTCTTTATCCTTCCTACCCATCACCCTTTGGATCCGAGACATTTGGGATAATTGGTGTGAAATGGTCATGGGATGTAGCCCAACTCACACACCAAAATACCATCTTTTATTCAGTTGCATATGATTGGCAGTGCCCAGTACACACACACACACACACACACACTGTAGGTATTACATGGTATATCGTAGCAAAGTCAATTAAAACATCCTGTCCAAATACGCGTAAACACGTCTGCCCAAAGCAGACAACTTCAATTCATCCATTCAGCAAATACTGACTGTCCCCTATACCAAACACTTTTGTAGCAGTGAACTAGAGTCTACCCCAGCAGGGCCCTACACTCATAAGTAGGAAAAACATAGTGACTCTAAATAAGCAACATGCAGAGAGTTCGACAGTGACATGGGCTTAGTAGGTGATACAGAGTGTCATCAGGCATCATAATTTTCGATAAGGACAAAAAGAGGGTTTTAATGAGGTGCATTTGAGGTGAAACACCAAAGCAGTACAGGCAAGGCAGATGGGTGTATTTAGTACCTCTGAGTGCCTGTGAGTGTGTGGATAAACCAGGCATGGGATGTGAAGACACAAGGAGTTAAGAATGGCTCTGGAGTTTCTACTTAGCAACACCAAAAACGCAGCTGCTGTTAGTGGAGATGAAAATGATCTCGGAATGAATAGTGGGGTCCAATTTTAGTTATGCTAAGTTCATAGTGTCTAGACATCCCAGGGAGATGCGGAAAAGCCTGGCTTTACTGACCTGGAGGCCAGGAGAGTCCTGACTGAGATGGGACTCTGAGAACAGTTCATGGATGTTATCTGAAGGTGTGAGTGTAAGAGGTCACTAAGGGCGAAAGCACAGATAGAAGAGAAGTGGTCCATGAGATAAGCTCGGGCCACCTTCAACACAAAGTAGGAACTGGGAGACAATGGAGACTAAGCATGGACAGCTGGAGGCAGCGTCCTGAATGCCAGGAAAGCAGGGGTAAAGTTTAGAGAGATCAGTTGAGCTAAATGCTACTGGTAAACCAGGGAAGAAGGTGACTGAGAACCCACCATTGGACATAACAACACAGAGATCACTATAAAGTTGAAGTCTGACTTTCAGTTAACCAGTGAACTCTGAACCCCAGAGGTTTATGTACCCTTTTATCTCAGAAACCAAGTTACACTCTATGTAACTAAGATAATAACTTCAGAATCAAAGCGCATGCCAATCAATAGAGACAGGGAGAAAGCAAAGTGTCTAGTCTCTTACTAAGGAACACAAAGACTTCAGTGACATCGCTGGTCACCAAAAGTGTACAGGTATTTCTTCCCAGAGATTGGGTGGGGACTAAAGTCTCAGTCCCTAATCCTGCCTGGTTCTGTTCAGAGCTGTGGAGGGGGCTGTGGCCATTAGTCAACTCATTAGCACATAAAAAGACAATGCCTTTTGGAAGATATTAAGGCTATTAGGAACTGTGTGGGAGGCAACAGGAAAGGAGGAATATATATTACACCTTAAATTATAGATAGAACTATACCTTGCTCCAGGCAAGATGGTCCTCAACACTGTCTATCGAAAGAGCAATCAACTTAACATTCCTCTTGGCAAACTCTGGCGCCAGTTTCGCAGCTCTGCCAAGCTCTGTGGTACACACTGGGGTAAAGTCCCGTGGGTGGGAAAAGAGAATGCACCATCTAGAATGAAGAAGAAGGTCACAACTCAATGGACAGTTACCATCATCATGCAGAATGAAAACACTCAGTATCTGCATTTAAAACAGGCCTTGCTTTCTTCAAACGTCTGCTTAAAGAAGACACTTAATCTTGTTAGTCCCGACCTGCCTCCAGAGAAGCCCAAGCTGACAGCAAGTATCTATCAATATATACAATTTTAAATATCAAATATGTAAAAATCAAGATAAATGGTTCAGAAGGATCATTTTAAGGTGTTACTTTTTCTTTTTTCTTTTCTTTTTTTTGAGACAGTACTTCTGTGTAGCCCTGGCTATCCTGGAACTTGATCTATAGACCAGGTTGGCCTTGAACTCAGAGAGTGGGCCTGCCTCTGAGTGGGATTAAAGGCATGTGCTACCACATCCAGCCATCACTCCTTTCGTAACTGTGGAGTTACCATGACTCCTTTTCAGTCAATAAAATGTGTGCTCTTCAAACCAAGTACCCCATTGAAATATTTCTTAGGCCTTTTGTTTGTTTGTTTTCTAGCACAAACTGTGATATTCAGCATCTACTATGCCCCAAATCCAAACAGATGCCTGGCTACAATAACAAACAGATTATATAATCCAGAACAGATAGGGCTTTATCCTCCATTTGTAGGTAAAATTTAGGTTGGCATTTGGCTTTCTGGAAGCAGCTAGATGTAAAATCTTTCCTAAGCCACTTGACTGATCTAACCTGTTAAACAAGGTGCCCATATTTGTACCACACCAAAAGAATACTTTAACAGGTGCAGTTTTTTACTTTAGAACAAGCAGGCAGAAAATACACAGATACCCTACAGTGTAGATTTCCATACCTACAATTCTTAGGTAAAGATTACAATCAAATCAACGTCTCAGGTTAAAGTTGTACAGATCCTGAGGATGACTCAAGCTCCCAAGAAAGTTGGGAGAAAGTACTATTTCCTTCTCCTTGGCAACAAAACCCATTCTTTCAAGCGAAAAGGAAAACACAGCACTCGGTTCTGTACACTCCCACCGCTTGAGCCATCCAGGGGCAAGGTCTCAAAGCAGCAGATTACTCAATCTGGCCTAGATGCTGAGGGTTTGGCAAGTTTCCCTGAGCACGAAGAACAAGGCGGACAGAGCTACTGCCTTCCCCGGACACCTGTCACTCAGCTCCCAGGGGAAGGCAAGGCCTTCTTCTTAAAAAGATGGAAGGCCCGAAGGATGAGTGAGGTGATACTTGGAAGACTGTGGAGGTCTTCAGTGTTCAGTTCTTAATATGGATTAATCAGTAAGATTTCAAGATGCAGCTAGCTGCTGTGACATTTAGGCCTTCGATTCTATGGAAAAGGACTGATGTAAGGTTCAGATGTGACTTAGTGAAAGGCTCTAAAAGATGCAGGAAAAAAAAAAAGGAACAGAGCAATTTCTTTATGTATTGTTTAGGTGTGATAAATTAGAAGTCTTTCTTTTTTTAATCGTGAAACAAATGTGTTTTGCTGAGTCATGCTGGGGTACTGGTTTTATGCCACTTGACAGGTTCCAGTATATCTCAGGGTATTCCAAGAATGTCTCGCCTGGCCTGCCTGCCCTACTCTTTGGAGAAATTCAACTACATTATCCCATTTCTTCCTCATTTTCAAAAGACAAAAGGTTTCCTCCTTCTAAGAGAAGGGTCTCTACTTCTATCAGAAAACCTCTGGTAGAGGTGTTTTGATTAGTGAGGAACCCTGAGACATACTAGAGATGCTCTTCCACATCCAGAGGCCAGACAAAGCTAAGCAAACCCACACAGCACCCAAATCCTTGTTTCTAATCGTCAGAGGTGGAGCACACACCTGTAATGTTTAAAGTCCTTTTTTCCCCCCTCTTTTCTCCAAAGGATATCTGAGTCCATAATTGGCAGTCTGAGTTGAGATTATCTACAGAATGGAATTTGAAAAAAGTAGGCAAATTCCATGTATTGTATCGATACATAAAGTGGAAAAGTCTTTCTCTGGTATGACAGGAATGTCATGCTTCACTCTAAGCCCACTTTATGCTTACTTATAAGTTTACCTCATTTTTTTATCTTTAGAAGATGGCATTTCATTTGCTTTTTAGCTTGTTTGTTTGGAGAGAGGGTTTCTTGTGTAACAGTCCTGGCTGTCCTGGAATTTGCTTTTTAGACCAGGCTGCCCTGGAACTCAAAGAAATCTGCCTGCCTCTGCCTCCTTGATTGCTGGGATTAAAGGCAGGGCCGATCACCACCGGCCCAGCTACTTACTGAGTTTTTATTTAGAGACAGAGCCTCAGTGAGTTTGCCCAGGTTGGTCCTGAATTTAGGACCTTCCTGCCAAGCAGCTGGAATAACAGGCCTACACATCTGCATGTAGCTGGGAAACCTAACATTATTAATCAAATCTAGATAAGATTTAGGTCAATAAACAATCACAAAGACTCCCCCCCTGCCCCCTCCCCCCGTGGTTATTTGTGCTTTGGATTCATATTTATCTGTAATCCATATAGATGAAGAAGAGTTCCAACGCGATCTCGCAGTTCATGGGGGTGTGGGTTGCAGGCAGGAACGGGAAGGAACACTGTGTAAATCCTCTGCAGTCTTGGATAAATATTAACACCTAGGTTCTTAGAATAAGACTGGCAGTCTTGCTTATCTCTAGTCTTCTCCTGCAGGGTCTGAGAGTTCCATTTGCTACTTTTTCTTAGAAAAGCTCTGCTTTCCCACACAGTCAGCCAAGAATCCTCACCTGGTTCTCTAATGCTTGCCTGCCTGATCACCTATTAGTTTCATAAACTGCTCTGTCTTCCCACATCATACACCTGAACAGTGGATATAAAAAGGACACAAACCCAGGAGTCTGTTCATACAACGTAGTAGGGGCACTAAAACCCCAGAACTACAATGTAATCTGACACGTATGCAAAATGCCCACTGAAACTAAGCATCTTGCAATCTGTGCATTCAGGAGCTGTAAAACTAAGGCAACACTGGTGTACTCTTCACCATTAATGGCCACCACTGTGGCTATCAGCAGCAAGGCCAGGCGCTGGATGCAAGGCAGAGGGGGAGGGGACCCCTGGGAAACAAAAGAGTCTCAAAGTGGTGAGGTACACGTGTCCTAGCCTTGGAATGGCCTATGGTGGCAAAATGGTCGCAGGCACAGAACAACCCCTCCATCAAACTGTTGCTTATTCTGGAATGACGGCCACACCCCCACAAAAAGTGCTCCTGGTTCCTCCCAAAGCTGTTACACAAAATCTTATTTTGAACACTGACGTAGGCTCTGGCAAAAAGTCTTCTGGTTAATTACTTGGCACACGGTAGTTTTAAAATTTTTCAGAAGTTCGAAACTACCTACCACTCCCCGAAGTTAAGCAAGACTTCAGATAACGCCGGGCCACCCCACCTAATTTGTGGCTGTGTAGTCTATGGCCTCCGGCACCCACCTTCCGTCGGGTGCAAATTCTAGGGCGGCGGGAGGGCCGGCAGTGAGTGCGACCCTGGGCAAGTGTCCCAGGAAGTGACCTCCAACAAGGCACATCCCTGCCAAACCTCCCCTGGGCTTTCGGTCCGACCGCGCTACAATTGAGCACTGTTTACAAAGCCAGGTTAAATGGACAACAAACCGTCCCAGGCAAGGACGCCCTCCCCCATGCCAGCCCAGACACGTCGGGTCAGGGAAGGATCCGGTGATCAGCGCAGGGCGGGCCAGAGGTCGTAGGTCCCCAGCAACGCCCGGTGATGCTCGGCGGGACCCCGGCAGCGGGCACGTGCGGGAACCGGTGAGGGGCTAAGCCAGCGGCGCGCCGGGGCCGAGCGCAGCGCGGAAAACAGAAGCGGGGAGGGCAGTTCTGGGGACCCGCCATCTGGCAGGGAGACGCGGTGGCCACTTACGAGTCTCCCAGGAAATCGTGGAAGCGGATGCGGCCGATGGTGGTATTGGCCTCAAAGTTGGGGGCTTCGTCCCCGAGAAGCAGCCCTCCGGGCATGGCGGCAGCGGTGACGCGGGGAAGCAGGAGGCGCAGCCGCAGCAGCGAGCAGCCGGCGGGTTCCCGGGAAGCTAGATCAGCGCTGGCCGAGTGGGCGGGCCCGGGGGCGGGGCGGCGGGGCGGGGCGATCGCGAGTCTAGCGGCTGCGGTCCTTCACGTGGAGCCTGCAGGGCGAGTAGGATTCAGGGGCGAAAGGAGGCCACGTGCAATGGGAAGGAAGCATAAGGCTGAGAATTGCGGGGGGACTATAGGGTCTGGCGGCTCTGCAAAGATGCTCTAGGCGATCAGCGCAGACCCTCCCAGACCCTCCCGTACCCCACTCCCATCAGACTTCCAACTGAGGGGTCTGGTGGTACACCCTTCTTCCACTGTGAGCAGGAGTAGCGCTGACTTCTCAGCCAACCTAGGCTTCAGAGGTTTCTCAGGATGTGGCAAGACCCAGATGTGTGCGGGGATGAAAGTCAGAGGAAGTGGCTTTCTTATTGCAACAAAAATTCTGTACCAACCCTCAGTAAGAGGACACTGGAAATAACCTTTTTATTTTGCCTCCCCACCCCTTGTGAACTATACAAATATTCAACACATTGATCCTAAAGTTTAAATACAAGTTTCACAATGTACTTCCTGAGATTGAAAGTATGCAAGTCACTTTTCACCTGGGGAAGTGGGAGGTTTTGATCCACTTACTTCCTGTTTCCCAAGCCCAAAGTTGAAAAGATGTCTGTTTTATTAGAGACAGATGGCAGACATTCTGCATAGAAACCAGAATCTGTTAGAATCTCGTCCTGGTTATGTAAGCCTGAAACCCGAGCTATTCTGGAGAAAGGAGCATAGTTAAGTTCCGAGGTACAGAGGAAGTTCAAGGCCAACCTGGGAAACTTAAGTCTGTCTCACAAAAAAAAAAAAAAAAAAAAAAAAGAAGAGGTTGGGGAAGCAACTCTGTGGTAGAATGCTTTCCTAGAATATGGGAGGGCCCAGGTCAGTGGTTCTCAATCTGTGGGTCGTGACCCCCTTGGATCGTGGGTCGTGACCCCCTTGGATCGTATATCAGATCATTTACATTATGATTCATAACAGTAGCAAAATTGCAGTTGTGAAATAGCAATGGAATAGTTTTATGGTTTGGGGTCACCACAACATGAGGAACTGTTGAGGAGTTGAAGGAACCTAGGAAGGTTGAGAACCTTGCCCGAGATTCACTTTGCACTAGGTGGGTTGGGGAAGAAAAAATGAGAAAGTCCCAAACCCTAGTTGGAGAAACAAAAGTAAGGTTGCATAAGTTAAGTAAGGATGACTGGAGGTTGGTTTCAGACAGTGTGCTCCAGTCTGGGAAAGCCTGTAGGATGATATATAATGCCTAAACTGCTCAGCACATGGCAAGGGCTCTAGAAGTGGTAGCTATTATTTAGATGATGATAATGATTCATGCAATAACTCTTTCCTTATTGCTAGCTAGATACTGCACTAGGCCTGATGTGACAGACTGTCTCAGCTCTTACAGGAAAAGTGAATTACATGCAATTATGATATAAAGTAAAGTAACATTGATAGGGAAGCTGCAAACGGTTGGGATTCGGCTTGAGGAATCCTCCGGAACAGATTTAGCAGATTTGAAGGCACTCTGGAGCCGTGCTGGGTGTAGTGACTCGCTGTGACCTGTGCTTTCATCATAGTGATGTGCACTGTCTTTGTGTCTACACGCATGCTGATCATACTTACCTACTTCGTTGTACCCAGACTCACATCGAGGTTACCGGCAAAATCTTTAAAGCTAAGATAATTTAATCTCTACCTTGACTCCACCATATGTTGTTTTGAAAGCAACATATCTTAACATTTTTTAATTTTCGTAGTGGGGGAAGCAAAGTAGCTTGACTTTAGGGCACTATGAGCAATGTATTGTGAAAGTGGCCTGAGAACCAGATACACCATAATACAGAGAATGGATTCAATTTAAGGCACTATGAGCAACATGTCACAAAGATGGGCTGAAAATCAGATACACCGATACAGTGAACGGGTGCAGAAACAAATGACTGATCGTTATCAAAGGCACATTTACACAGCCAGCAGTTGTAAATTGAGCAAATACAATAAGATAAACACCTCCTCCAATTTACAGTGCCAGAAGTAGCATGCTGGTGATGATCCAGCAAACTGCTTTAGTCTTAGCAAAAATTGAAATTCTTTAAAGGTAGAGATTAACATTTTCAACAACACACTTTTCCCGCCCACAAAACACTGGAATTTCTGTCTTCTAAAAAGTCAGAAGATCTAGCAATAATAGGCTATGGTCTACTTGGAGACTGGCTAGAGAGTAGCTTTCTTTTCTTTTCATGCTCGATTTTTTCTTTTCTTCTTTATTATTTTTCTCCTTTCTGTTTGTCATATTGTGAACATGAAAGATGAAGGCTATTTTACCCAAGGCAAAAACCTGATATTGTATATGTTTTTGTAAACATATACAATGTTCCCATGTATTTAGTATGTGAATAAAGTTGGAAGAACATGCTGTTATTTGCCTCTTGTAGGTAAGTGAGTTTGACCTTGACTTATAGCTATGGAACCAGGGAATCCCAGGAGGACATTTAAGACCATTTTTCTCAAGGGCTAATGAGAAGTTCAATGGGAAAGGAAGTGCTGTGGGAGAGGCGTTCCAGGGAGAGGCCAGAATGTGGAAAATGAAGAACCAGGTTGGGGGAAGCATTTGAAGGACAGAAGGCTCCCGTATGGGAGTGGGAGGGATACTTTTAAGCAACCTAATGGTTGGAGGGAACGTTGAAGTCCTTAGAATTATCTTAAGGGTAACAAGGAATTGAAGGGCTTCCCAGTGGGCTACTGTCTGATCCCCATGGTCTATCCTATTTCACTGCTAAAAGACTCAAGAAAGGGTAAAGGGGTTGATAATGGTTGTGTTCTCTCCCTCCCTCCCCCCTCCCCCATCCCTCTCTCTGGTCTATGCACATGAAAGCAGAAGGGGCCTATTTGGAAGAGGAAAGGGGCCATCTGGATCAGAGATGGGGAATGGGAAAGGTGGGTAGGGGAGAAGAGGAACAAGAGCAAAGTATGTAACGAAACCCAACACTTGGTATGCTAATGAAAAAAACTCAAAAAAGGTTGGTTTAGTGTATATGTTTGTTTATTGAAAGATTATACTAGAATATTCCTAAGAGCAATGTCATAGGAACAAAATAACCATTCACGTCACCCATTCACGATACAAAGGAAATAAGTTGTGGTTAGCCATGCGTACTGAACAGCAAGTAGAATGGAGCCTCCGCAACTCCACACAGCGATGTGGTTGAATCTCACAGACTTGAAAACGAGGACACACGTTTGTCCTCTGTTACCTGAGGTATAAAGGGAGCCAGAAAGAGAGTGGTCAGAAGTCAGTGTGTGGATGTGTGGGCTGGCGCTGGGTACAAAGAGAAGGGCAGAAGGGAGCGAACGCAGGAAAGGAGTGTTTTGCATTTTGAGGGTTCAACAGCCACCTGTAAACAACTCATTTTTTAATTTAAAAAAGTTCTTCCTGCCAGGGGGGGGGTGGTACATGCCTTTAATCCCAGCACTGGGGAGGCAGAGCCAGGAAGATCTCTAAGATCTAAGATCTCTAAGATCTCTAAGTTGCACTTAAAGTTCGAGGCCAGCCTGGTCTACAGAGCAAGATCCAGGAGAGGCACCAAAACTACACAAAGAAACCCTATCTCAAAAAACCAAAAAAATAAAAATAAAATAAAATAAAAAATTCTTCCTGATTTTAACATTTCTTCTTGCTCTCCCACCTTTCTGTTCCTCTCTCTTTCTCTTTCCTATCTTGAAATATGTCTTGTGAAATCCACTGGGTGCTTTTTCTTCACTTTCTACATACTGGATGGAGTTAATAACTACTTTATTATTGGTATTATATTTGGAACCACTTCTTGCTGGCTTTAACAACACCAAAACTTCCTGCTTTCCTGTCTTCCTTAAGGGCAGTTCTTTCTCCTTTCTCTTCCTCCCAAGTATTGATTCTTCCCAGAGCACATTCTTTTTTTTAAAAAAAAAAAAAGTTTGTATATTTTTCTGTAGGTGATCTATCTAGTTCTATGGCTTGAAAACATCTATATGCTGAAAATGCCCATTTTTATCTTGAGAAAAGCTCAGAATTTGTTTATACATCTGCTCATTTGACATATGCCCAATATGTAACTCTTAACCTCCGCTGGCCCCTGCCACAAACTTATTTGACACATTCTGTGTCAACGATGACTCCTTTTTATGAGTGACTTTTGCTGCATATCTCAGAACACTTGACCTTTGTCTTGTCCTTAGCCTCTTTACTGATGTATACTCTCTAGTCACCCCCTCTTAGCTGCACACGTGCCTTTCATTGTCCTAGTTGTGGGGTTGGAACCATGCAAATCACATCTCCTCTCTGATAGACAGCCGTTTGTAGGATCTGTCCATTGGAGCACAGGGTGTGCTCAAAGGGATTATCAAGACTGGAGAGAGAAGGGCCTTATCTTTTTCCTGTTATGTTTTTCCCCCTTCACATGACAGAGAGCGAGCAGATCAGCCCACAGCTGGCCTTGGAGAGACAGATCACGAGGACTCAGCTTTCCCCAGGGGTTATTTGGCTGGGAGTTAAACACTGTTAAATAATGTTCAGAGTGTTAATGTCATGGTAGGTCCTCATTGCTAGCAGTTTTTGATTACGCTGTCAAGAGTGAGTCCTTTGACTTTTTAGTTGACAGTTGTCAAATCTTTTCCTTGTGCCCAGCTGCCTTAAGTGGTAGCCTGTCAGTCAAGAAGACCTTTTAA